CTAACACTTCTTCTGTAATGACTTACGATATATTTAGATCAAGCAGGCTTTCTTTTAAAATCAGCTTCTTCAAAACATCAAAATGTGACCTGACTCACATATGTTTTCTAAGAGATTCATTTCCTACCACCCAAGTTTATTGTCTCTTGTTGAAAAGAGCTTGCAGTTGGAATACAAATGAAGAATCACACAGGTACAACTCCAAAGCCCACTTGAAGTCAATGGGAGATCTCTAACTAATTTTAGGGAACTTGAAATCAAGGCCTTAGCTCACTGAAGACACTAGAGGCCTTCCAGACTGTGTGACATCGCAGGCTAAATAATTCTTACCTTCTTAAAAAAGCATTTTGAACATTTGATTGGGATTTAAGGTATTCTGGGGGTAGAAAGAACACTTGTTTGTTTTCCCCAATTACACTTTCCATAAAGCATAGATGTTTCAAGTCATGAAAAGAAATAACCAGTCAATAACAGTTATAAACTTTTTAAAAAAGAATATATATATATATATATATATTATTTTATTGTAGGCCCAAGGTCATAACTCACATATGTAAGCTTGCATTCAAAGACGACACTTGCTAAAATTAATAACCAACTTCTCAGTCAATTTGTCATTATTATCACACCTGGCCACGATTAGTTTTACTGGGAGATAAACAGTGCTCTCTATAATATTTCCATAGGATAAAAGCCTAAACCAAACAAAGCCTTTGCACATTTTGTGGACAACACCAGATGGAGATGGGCCCTCAGTGAAGCTGCTGTGCATCTTTCTTCTTTCTATTTTTACAGACGAAGCAGTTATAGAATAGACAGGTCAACAGGACTAACAGTGAAATGTACTTTCTCTGAACAGATGCATTACGATTAGCAGTCACCCCACTCTATCCCATAAGTATTTGGAAATATTTGCCTGGCAGGGTCACTTTTAGACTAAGATAAATGTTTGCTGCTCTAGCAAATCTTTCTACAATTCTTTCAACAGTTCAGTTTATCTAATTGCAGTGGCGGCTCCTATGGTCTGGAAACCTGTGTATTGGAAACCACATTTCACAGGTGACTAGGCAGCCATCAGATGGTAACAGCTTTCATTTCTTACTGACCTGGATTTACAAAGGTTGTGTAAGGGTGAGACACCCAGTACTCTGTCACCAGCCCAAAGCCAAGCAATGCCAGCTCTGCACTATGAGTTATAAAGATTTACAATATTTTTGAGAATTGTAATTCATTGTGTTGCAGCAATATTTTGAACTAACATTTCCTTATGTAAGAACTTTCTTTTTAATAAAGTCTTGTGGATGCTTGTTTAACAAAGAACATCAAGCTCTGCACTCTGTGGTTATGCAATTATCTAAAGCATGAGGGCATTTTGAACCATTACTGAGAGAACATCATTATATTTTTATACACAAAAGGTGAAGACTTTGATCCCTTCAAAGACAACAGCATGGGCAGAAAAGACTATATGCTTAGTATTCCATCCATGATCAGACCCTTCACTGAGGAAGGGGTATGGAGTGACCAAGCCAAAAGCACTTCTTTCAGTGATGAACCGAAGGGCAACTTCAGTACCAAGCCTAAATACACAACTTAGTCTAGCTGAGCTACTTTAGACTGAAGAACCGATAACGATCCCTCATCAAATTTTACATCCTCTGCACCTTTGGCTCCATCAATAACAGAAGGGATTCACAAAGTTACAGAACAAATCACCAGTTTGCAGCTAGTTCTCTACCTTTTGAGAGTCAAACATCTTTCACAAGGAGAGATACACTGAGACTCCCTTCCATGGTTAACAGTCAACTGGCACTGTGCTCGACCTTCAGAAAGAACCTGCACATCACCTCACACTTAGCTATAAACTACTTTAATCTAGTAGAGTATTGATCTTAGCTACGAACTACTTTAATCTAGTAGAGTATTGATACAGTTTAATATACATAAAAAAATAGAGTGTACAAAACCTGCAGCAAATCCTACCGTGATGACAATTGCAGAGCTACGCAATGAGTAACATTTACTTTTTGCTTGTATTTCGATTTATGAGGTGCAACCTTGCCCAGAGCACAGTGTAACACCACACAGGGACAGCTGTAAGGTCGCATCCTCAACAAGAGGTAACAGTGAGAAAGGCCGGCACATCCCAGAGGCCAGATCTGCTGCCTGCACTCAGCAAACACGGAATTTTCAGCAGTCCTCAGCGGTGTGGAAGCTCTGGCCTCTCCAAAGGGACTAGTGTCGAATGGGGGCTTTGAAGGCCAGTAAACAAACAGGCTCTGTCAGCACATCTGTTAGGAGCAAGGTCCAAGGTCAAGGACCCCCATCAAGAACACCAACAGCAGCTCCCTGACATCTAACTCTTAAAGCATTAATCTGTCTGGAAATACTCAATCTTGAAAAAAATGAATACAACAAACAATAATTTTGGCACACTTCACCTTCGAGGCCAGCTATTTACATGCTATTTAAAATCTGTTTAATTGTTCAGACCAAATAAAAATAAATCTTTTCAAAATTGTTTTCTCAAAAATGTTACTGATCAAGAAAATCAGTTTGCTAATGTTGCACATTTTCAAGACTGGATCCAAAATACAAAATGCTCCAAAGACTCATAATAAACATTTTTTTTTCATATTATTCTCAGGTTTCATGTGGTGATTGTATTCGGTGTTTCATATGATCTTCTTATATCCTAAATGCAACAGCATGAATTCTGCTAGAGGTGGGTGGCATCCATTATGGAATTTATATATGTAATTAAGCACATGAAGCAGGGTTTGCTGGATCTGAACCTTTTATTACAAGCTTTTTATGGCACAGACTTCACCCTACATTGCTTCTTTTACATTCCTAAAATTATTTTGAAGACACAGTACAACACTGGAAGAAATGCTCTCTTTACATCAGTAGCTGTTTAAAAACTCCTAAAACTTTCAGAATAAAAATAGTTGCAACTTTCCCATTTGTGCTGTGGTTTTGTTGATACCTAAATGTCAGTTAAGGAACGTTAAGGAAGACCAAGACATATAATGGCACATGAAAAGGTTGCTTTGAATTACTACTAATAAAATATCAAAGCAACAATTTGGAGCTATGCAAAATGTGAAATGTAGCGGCACGACTGCCGCTAACCAGAGCCTAAAAGGTACAAAGTTGGAGTAAAAGCCATGTACACAGCCACTCCAAAAATAACTGTGATCAGATAAAAGTCTGAAAGCAATTATTTTTGCTGAATACTGTACACAGATCACTGCACTAAGCTTCTATAATTAAACAAGACAAAAGGTCACATGGTGCTTAATAAACCATTTACTCCACTGATTATATTCAAGTTGTGGCACCCTAGTACTTTGCAATAACTAACAACAGGGGAAATAATTTGAAGAATAGTATCTCATGTTGTAAGTTCCTTTTTCATTCACCAGCATGAATGTTACCAGCCAGTCTTTCAAATACACTTCAAACACAGGAAAGGGATAGAGTTCAGTGTCAGGAAGAGCTCTTGGAGGGCTAAAATCTTTACTCAGAGGAACCCATCAGACTTATTCAACAAAAATGATTTCTGCACTATGAAAGTAGCAGCCAAGCCAGACTTTGCAGTCTTTAAATCGAGTCCCTCTGCCTTTGTTCCAAATTCACTGTGTCATAGAATTGCTCACTATTTTTTTGCAGCATCTCAGCAGATCTTCACAGATCTCAATATATCTCTTGCTCACCCTTCTCCTGGATTTGCCTGCACACTGCCTACATAGCATTTATATATCCATTCCCCACCATTTTAACAGCATTTACAGCAAATTACTAAGACAATTAATATTGGAGGGGTATTTAATACATTTTGGCTTCTTTTAAAACCGTTAGTAGCTAAACACAGTGAAAATGAACCAACAAACACTTCTGTAGACCAGCAACCAATTGCTTAACACACACAGAGAAGTGCCCAATACAGTCAAAAATTACAGCAGAGAAATTTACATGCAATTTCTGATCAGGCAAGAAATTCTACAGGAACTGAAGTACAATCCAGCACGCTGCACTAGTACATGCAGTAACCACAGCACCAATTCAAGATGCTCTCAAGATCATGCTACGGTTTTATCTTGTTTAGTTTTACTAATCTGAAATGAAAAAATATCAAACTCCATAGGAATAAATTAAGAAAGCAAAATAGAAAATAATTCTAAATCAGCATGGCACAGGTTTTGTTTATGCAGAGCTCTATATTTCAAGTAACATGCAGCTTTATCTTTAATATTTTCTTACTGGGATACTTACATATGCAAACCAAGCATCCTTTAGCTCATTTTAGCAAGTTTTTGTAATACTTTACCTAGTTGTTGAGCTGCTCCTTTCCTTTCCTCAGGAGAAGTCACACGGCAAAATAGAGATGCAGAAGTCTGCAACTTCACAACAACCCTCTAACATTTTATATACATCCTCCAAATATGAATGTGCTGCCTGGACAATGCTGGGAAATCCTGTTCTCTGCCCAGAAGAGCAGCAGAAGAAAAAGGGTTTGCTTACTATCACATTAGGAACTGGGGAGGTCCTAAATGCCACCGCGGAGCATCTCTTCCTACAAGTATTTCCAAGCACCCAGCAATCCTCCCTTTCAGAATCCATGCCCCAAATCCTTGCATGGGAATAAGCAGCCAGGACCCCACCTGCAGCCTCTCCGAGCATACTTCTCATTCAGGAGCAGAGTGCCCATCTTTTGCTAATAGTGCATCTTTTGGCCTTGGCGAGATATACACACAAAGCCAGAATCTATATAATCAGCACGAGATCATGAGATTTCAGATTTCTGCTCAAATAATATTTTAATCAGAAGGAAAATAAATAAATAAATAAACACCTTCAAGAGCTTTATCTTTACATAGAAAAAAAAAAACTCACTCTTACTGCATCCCCACCCAAAAGTTGCACATTATCAAAACAAGCTGAATTACTTTTGCACAAAATTTCCAAAATTTCCATATTACATACACTCAAATGACCTGGATGCAGAAGACAGCAAGCCTGGAAATTTTCATGGCAAAGGGTTAAAGTTCAGAAAGTCTGCCGAAACTGAAAAGGGAAGACTGGGAGACCAGATTGATGGGAGAAAATAAATAAATAATGAAACTTTAACCTTGAGGTTTGGTATTGTGTCCAGTCTACTACTAAACGCTTCTTTCCAGAAGAAAAAAAAAAAAAGGAAATGACTAAATCTTACTCCGACAGTTCACATCTAAACGGCTCGAATGAGTAACATAACGGGATTTTTTCCCCCTCATACCAACTGAAACGCAACAACACGATGGGGAATACGCGAGAAACGGCTATCCAGAGCTGGGGAAGACAACGCTGCCCATCCGCAGAGCCGGCTGAGGAGCCTCTGCGGAGCCCTCCTTCCTCCGCGAGCACCGACTGCCCTGCGCTCATGCGGCTCCTAACTCGCTACGAGCGTCACGGGCAAGAGCAAATACCGGAGCTAAGAGAACAAAAAGCCTCGGAAGGCAACCACGAGGAGGGGAGGAAAGAAAGAAAAACACAAGTCTCGTCTAAATTCCTGGAAAGCGCCGCTGCCTTCAGCGTCTCTCTCGGCGCGCGCTCCCCGCCTGGGAGCCGGCAGCCCGAGCCGCTGCTCGGCCCGCACCCA